ATAAAATCTTATTTCATATTCAAATTGCATATTATTTTTAAGACAAATGAAAGAGTAAAGATTATTTTTATAACAACTTTTGTTTTTTTTTGTTCCACTTTGTTAATTACTGAGTAATTATAATTTATCTCTGCAAAAAAAGACAGCGAATTTGAATTTAAATTTAATAATATATTAAAAATTAATTTGAACTTAAGGATACAAGAGCAAAAATAAATTCGCATATGTCATAATTCTGATAAGACACAAATCATCTTCTAGCAATGAAGTATATAAAAACTGAGTGGGAAAATTCTTCAAATGTTTTCAAAACTGTCAAGTACGATATGATGGAAATAAATTATTAAATTATAAGTAATACGAAATTTAAGATTAGATATACGTGATATGACACACATCTACGACACATCACACATTGATCACAATCAAGAATAGTTGCGCACTACCAAAGGTTGCCAGTAGCAGCCAGCCATCTTTACAATGTCATTTCTCCTTTCCTTCCCAGCACTTCGCATTTGTCATTTGCAGAAATAAATTTGAAATTCAAGCACGCACTCACATACACGTATATACACACATACACGTACACTACATATACTCTTAATATGATTACACTTACAATTATACATACACAAGTACACACACATTCGCACATGACAAATGCATACATACATACGAAAACACACACAAACATATATTTTTTTTTATTACTGTAAAATATGCCTTACTCATCCACTGTGCTGTACATTCGAACTACGTCAATTCCAAAGAGTGCTTATTGTAATACAAACGCAATTACTTGAATCTATTCGAAGATTAATTGCCATCTGATTTGCTTTTCTTCAAATACAATCACACATTCATCATTTCAATTACTTTTGAAATTCTATGACAAGTTTTTAAAACTTTCAGAAAAATTTTTACAGTTCGTTTTAAATAATACTATCGATGTTATTTACTTACAAATTTTTATTGATTATAATTTAAATACATAATTATTATTTTTTATTAATAATTATTTTCAATACTGTTAACAAAGTTTAATCTAAAAGATAATAATAATTAAAAAAATAATAATATTAATTTGATCTAAAAGAATAATTTGATCTAAAAAATAATTTGATCTAAAAGATATAATAATCTAATAATAATAATTTGATCTAAAAGAATAATTTGATTTAAAAGATATCATAATAATTTTGGCAAGAAAATAATTTCTGAATTGACTTACTTCTAGAAAAAGGTAGAAAACCAATCACACATGAAAAAAGGGCGTTAATTGATAGGTAAATAAAAATGCATAATTATATTATACTTCAATTTCTCGTCGCTGAAATTTTTATAAAAAATTTCTTAGCAAATATTAAGAAAAATATTTGTCCTACGAAGTTATAAAAATTAAGTTAGAAAATGCTAAGAACAAATTGCTTAATTTGTGAATACAAGTATACGCATAAATTAATGATATATTTTTCCTCTGTTCAATTACTTTTCAAACTTTCACCGATCTCTCTATTTGTTTCCCATGTTACCATACAGTAAGTACAGTAATCATTGTTATCACCACTGCATAGCATAATTTTCATAGCGACCAAACGGAAGTGATATAAATCAGGCATAGTTTGGAATGAATTATGCTTTTCATATGTTATGATTTTAAAGATAAGTAAGATTTGATATGTAAATAAAATCTAGGTTGGTCAGAATGGATTAATTTAATCTTTAAGTTCACGAAAAATGTTAACAGTTGCAATACTCATCAAATGCTTGCATCTGTTTTATTATTATCTTATATAATATACTTTATATTTTAAATGTGATTTGCAAATGTGGTCTTTAAAATTTGAGTAATATATGGTTCC